TAAATACACAAACATTAAAGATGCAAATGATACTTGATTTCACAGGTAATATATTAGCAAAGTGTGTGGTCAGATCAATGAATACCAGCTGTGAATACAAGAACAATTATTTCATTTAGGAGATCTGGTTTTCTATGGATTTGTATATGAAATGGAAGGGCCAGCACAGATGCAGCAATGTTTAAAGAAAGGTGAGATTACACTACAGGTTTTCCTTCAATGCGAATACTAATAGCTCTCCTCGCTCTACTTGTGCAATGACTTCTATAGAACTTGTATGAACATGATTTGTCTGAGTTCACAAAAATGTTTGGAATTGACCAGCGGGTTCAAAGGTTTTTATGGAAGAGTGATAAACAGAAGAGCATAAAAGCACATACAGTGTGATCTTATGAGACTCATTTCCTTAGAAAATCATTTTCTTTAGAAGAAAGAATCAACAACCTAAAGCAGTCACTTCATTTTTATTCATACAGTCCCTGGCATATACATATACATATATATATATATATACACACACACACACACGTATATATATGGGCATATACCTCACTTTCACAAACTTAAACAAATATACATTCAATCACACTTGCCTTCATGAATTCTCGAGTTACTTATCATTGCAGATTTTCATGTTTAGCCCTTTAAAACTCACTGGTGAGACTGATTCCATAATAATTTGTAATTATWATCAGTGGCATTTCTAAAATTGGCCTGGATTCCTTGCCTCAGCATGCAGTGAAGCTGACAGGCCTGTTTTAATGACRTATATAAAGCTGTACATGATCAGCATGGTAGAGCCATCACTTTCAAAGGATGAYCGTGTAGGCATGGGGATTGGATTGAAGGAATGGGGCCTGCCTTGTTTACAGGGAACATCCAAGCTGAAGAAACATAGAAAATCTTGTGCATAGCAAAAGTGAGTGACCTTAGAATAATTGACCTTCATGGCACAGTTGATTTCTAAAGTCTTGTTGCCGTTTTTTTTTGTTTCTAATTATTTATTTTTATTATTATTATTATATTTATTATTGTTTCACATTTGAATGTCAGCAGGTCAAAAGGAACAGTTAATTCTGATGAATATTTCCCCTTCAGCAAAGATATGTGCTGGCCAGCCCAGGGCCAAGGAATCGCAATTGCTAAACAGTGTCCCATTTATCTCTCCCTTCCCCCTTCCTTCCCTCCTCGCTTCTGTATTTTTTTGTAACGGCAATTGTAGTTAAATTAGAAATAACTGACGGGCAAATCCAGTCAGATGGAAAGAAAATTGTGGGAGATTTATTTTATTTTGATAAAAAACTGATGCTGCCTTTTGTTTTTGTCAAAAACTGACTATACTTTTCCTCGTACCATGAATTGTGAAATCTATCACGAAATGGGTAAAAATTATTGAAGGAAATGGTGGTGTTAACCTGAAGGGGAAAATCATTAATGTTGATGTATTTCATTCAATTTTAAATGTAGAATTTATTTTATTTTATTTATTTGGCATGAGGGAACTAGAGAAAAAAAAAAAAAAAAGCAGGATACTTGCAAGGGACTCTGTGTGCCTTTAAGTCAAAACATCTATTTAAAAAATATTCTTCCCTCCTTTTCCCTCCTGCTCCATTTTTCTAAATAAACGGTATAAGATGTTGTTGTAGTTGTTGTTGTTGGGTTGTTTTTTTTTTTTTTTCCTTTTTATATTTTTCTTTATTTTTTTTTCCTAAGCAAAGAGGACCCCCTCGGCGCATTTTTCTTTTCAAATGTGAAATGAGGTGGAAAATCCTCATTTCACGACAGGAAGGACAAATATTGACACAAAGTTAATATTTGTCAGGAGCCCTAGAAGCAACCTGAGTTCTTAAATCTTTATATATATATATATACATATATATATATATATATTATATATATAGAGAGAGAGAGAGAGAGAGATTTGATATTTTGTATAAGCATATATATGAGTATATGTGTGTGTGTGTGTATATATATATATACAAAAGTGTGTTTGTGTGTGCATATGTACATATGTATATATACACACAAAATGATGAACCTGATGTGACAATGAGGCTAAGGAAATAGCCTAGGAAAGTGGACACGAGCCTATGTGCACAGTGCAAACATCCCTTCTCCTTCTCCTAATGCCACATGTTCCCGTAGACATGGACATCCATCTATGACCCCTACGGGCCTTTCCACACTCTTACTGGCCCACACCTTCATTTTTCCTCCTTTTCCCCACTTTTTCCCCCCTCTCTAACACACATGTGGGGCAAATATAGCCCATTTAATCTAATTGCACCCACTTAGCAGGAGGGCTTCTGGAATTTATCACTGCCGCTGTCCACCGCAGAGGCAAATCGCACATGTCAGCGCAATATTCGGTGGTCACTCTGGATTTATTAAGTCCTGTCCACTCTGGCCTTTTGGAGAGCAGAGCCTGGGGGCAGATTAGCTGCTGGTCCTGACACGCCATGTCACTTATCTCGTCGCATCGATTATGAAAGTCAGCTGTGGCCAGGCCTCACTTCTCTCTTTTTTTTGTTTTCCCCCTGCTTCTTCTCTCCGGCCCCTCTTACAAGCACCCCTGCTTGGATTTTCATGAGGAAATAATCAGATTAGGCCTTCAGCGGCGAGTTCATATGGAGTTCTCTTTCTGCAATGTGCTACTAACTGGATAAACGTGTTTTGTGGTAAATTGCAAATGACATTATGATTACTAAGGCCAGCATGGGTTTCATTTAGAAGTGATCGAAATTGCTGGCTGCAGAAATTGTGACTGGCAGATAAGGCCATTTGGAAGGAGATGAGTGAGGACGGCCGCGCGGCCGTCACCACCCACCGGCAATCCCGCTGTTTGGTGAGGGAAAGGAAGATCCCAGGAATGGTTAAATACAGGTGAGCCCCATTTGTGGACAAGAGCGATGTGACCCCAGGGGACGGTGGGGGATGATGTGGGAGTTTCCAGGAGAGCAGGATCGTTCAAGGACCATTGAGAGCCTCTGGCAGCGCTGTGTTTGTGCTTCCATTTCTATGTGAGGTCTCTGCTGCCTTCTCCCTTGCCCCTAGCAGGTGCTAAGGGCAGAGTGATAAATKATAAAGTAAAAATAACAAAATATAGAAATAAGTAAATAATAAGTAAATAATAAAATAATAATTAAATAATAAAGAAAAAATAGGGAAAGGGAAGGCAAAGCAAAAAATAAAAAAAGGAAAAAGTGCACGTAAAATGGAGAAGATAGAACGCTGCTGTCTAAAAGTAGGTGCATTTGCAGAGATCTTATCTTACTTGGACCATCTCCCTGAAGGCAGCACGACATTTGTATAATTTCATAGCGCTCCTCCGTGATGTGCACAGTGAGAGCTTGTTCTGGGAAACACTCATCGACCCCAGCAACTTCCTGCACTTGAGGAATCCCCCTGAAATAAATCACAGCTAAGTGTCCACAGGATTCAGGCATTAAGATGTAACTATAAAGTGAACTCAGGCTGATTCCTCTCTGGCAATGCATAATTCATATCTTTTCCGGGAGCCTGTGGTTCCCTTCCAGCAGGGCGTTTCACAGCTCTAGCATTTGCTTACTAAGGTGAATGCCCTTTTACACATTCAAAAGTCTGTGACCTTCAAGTATGTTATCTTTCTTTTTATCCTGAATGCTACGCCTTACATCTCCAGAGCTGTTGAATGAGGAATGCAGAATTGGTTGCGATATTGCCCGTGCTTTGCCTAACACACGTTCATGCACACAACTAAACAGGAAAAGGGCAGGCTTCGGGAGGAAAGGAGGATTACAACTGGCTACAGTAGTAAATTCCTTCTTTGATTTTATTTTCAAGGAAGGGAGGGAGGGAAAACAGAAACACACATCTTTCCCTGGGGTGCTTTGGGGAGAAATGTTTACATTTTTGGTGCCCCTGTTTGCGGTCATTTACTTTTATTCTTCTTTATAATCAGTGATGACCTCATCATTACAGCCTGAGGCACAACTTCTCTCATCTTAAAGCAGAGCCCTATATTTGGTCCGGACGATCATGTCCTCACTCCAAAGACTGTATGGATTAGGTGTCCTTTATATAGATCTTTCTGTAAAGGGCTCCTCTTGACTAGTTTCCATACAGATGCTATATGGTAGACATGTAGGATGGGATTCTGCTGCAGAGTCTGACACAGATGGAAATCTTAGCTTTTTGAAATGAGAAAAGCATTTATTTCTGTTACCTGAAGTATCTTATGAACTCCCATAGGTCTTTTGTAGTATCTATGAATGCTCTAGCTACCCTAAGAAGTTCAAGTAACACTATTCATCTGTGTTTTGGTGACAGGACCCTAATTCTAGTCATAACAGTTAAGGGAGTCAAGAGAGCAACTCAATGGAAAAAATATGGGTACCTATTTAAGAGTAACTGATGTACTTTCTACACTGCCRTGGGTGTATTAATGGCTGGGAATGGGGGCTTTCAGTTGCCAAAACCAAATGTCTAGGGTAATTTCAGGTTTTATAGTCCCAYCTGGCCTCCAGCTGCCACCCAAGAAGGGATAGTCACATCTGTCAGACTGTGCAGATATCTCAAATAGCWCAGGGCACACCTCATGATACTAGATGCCTATCTGGGGGCAAAAAGTTTAAACTCCAGATCTCCAGTGACTGTAATGGGAACTTAGACAGTTGGAGTGCAGGGTCTTTGCTATAGATACTGTGTGTGTCTCAATATTGAGCTTTCACACAATTCTAAACCTGAGTGAATTTATGGTGGTTTTCTCTCATGCTGTACCAGTCTCCAACAATTTTCAGGTCAAGGACTTCTTGAGGTAGATGTGGTTTCTGCTCATATCATATCCCTTAGTATTTTCCCGTAAAACTAAAACTTTAGAATCCACAGAAACAACTTTTAGCACTGAATGGAAAAATATACAGCTATAGCACAAATATGAATGGTATCTGAATCAGTTCTATGTTTATTTATTTATTTATGTGTTTAATTTCTCTTCCCATCTCTCTTTATTCTTCCAGGAATTTACAGAGAAGATGGTAAGTGTATCTTCAACCCTTCAGTACAAGGCTACTTCTGCAAGCAGACAGCTCATGCACTTGTCATCCTTGAAAACCTGGACCCCAATAGAGTCAACCAGAGACTGTCTCCAGTGGTAGCACTGACTGACAGCTTTATGGATACCTTCAGTGAAGTGACTTCAAACGCAGGATGTTATCCAACTGAGCATCCTCCTGCTTTCTCTGCTGTCTTGCCATCCAACAAACTCACTACAGTTTGCTTCCCTGACCTACCACCTTTGACTTTCAGACTTTACCTTCTCAGTGGCCAAAACTCAACCAAGTTTCCTCTTGCTATATTCTACAATGAACCCCTCAGCCTTCGTGTTTTCATTCAAGGGAAGTATGTCTCTCCAACCCTGTCTTCTTTCTCACTGAATGAAGGGCTTGGAGCCAATTACTTTAACTTTGAGAACAACCTTCTCTATGTCCTCCTTCATGAAGAGGAACCTGTAGAAATAGTCACTGGTCTTTCCCTTCACATTGCTTTTTCTGTACCTGAGACCACTGGGGAAGAGGGTGAAACAAATATAATAAGTCGATTAGCTGATTTCTTGCAGGTTGATCATGACCAAATTAGAATAGTCTATCGTGTGCTGGGAGATGAAAACATGTTAAAAGTCATCTCATCCAATGTTAGCAAGAGGAGATATCACTGCCCTAATATGACATTTTGTACAGCCTCTCATACCAGGCCTGGCTCACAGGGAGTGAGGAGAAGATCAGTAAGATCCCGAACTCTGAATGTATCTGCTAGAGCTGTTCCATCAAAAGTACTGGTCATTGAACTTGGTGATCCACCAGGCCATGCAAGAAATGAATTTCATCACTCCTTGACAATTGACAGCTTAAAAAGTTGGGCCAGAACTATTATTATCACTCATCAAACTGGAGATCTTCAGAGAGGGCTGGACCTACCAGTTGATGCTTTAATGGTGACTCAACCTTCCTTCTTGTCTCCAGAAGGAGATAATCACAGGTAGGTGTTTTGCTGCAGTATCATTAAAGATGTTCACACTCATTTAAATGGAGTTAGTCATTTTARCCACTTGATCTGCTTATTAGGATAGGGAATAACTTCTTTCCATTGACTGAAATATATCTAACCACAGTGCCTTATAAATATCTCCTGGCATAGCAGTGTCCAAGAGGTTAGCAAGACTTCTGAATGTAATCTATGATGTTCTGTTGGGGCTCATGGATCTCTGCAGTATAATCGATGTACACTCTATGACACCTTAAGCCAGTAAAAGTGTKTCCAGAAGTTTGCCTTGAAACTGTAAGCTATTGGATAAGGTCAATATTTCCAAAAAAAAGTTCAAAATCTTGTTTCTTTTTCTTTACTTTTAACCACTTAATTAAGTCTATGAATGTTTAGAATTTGATGCCGTGCCAGAGATGTGCTGTGAAAGATATATTGTCGCTTTAAGTAACTTACAGATCTAAACCTTGATTCTAAACCTCACAGAATTTAAAGCCAGAAAGGACCATTTCATCTTCTAGTTTAATGTCCTGCATGACACAGGCCACTGCTGTTTAGTTTGATACCTTGCTGTTGACTTTTTTTGTTTGATTGAAATATAGCAATCTAGAAAACCAATCTTGAAAATGTGGTGTCAGCATCCAATTCTTYCTTCAAATATATATATAGAGACATAGGTAGCTAGAAGGTTATACCTATTTTTGTGTCACAAATACTTGCCTATTTTCTCTTGTGAATCCCTCCATCTCCAGCTTTCTGTGAGAGTTTCTTGCTCTGTCTTTTTGTCTACCATTAGCAAACTGCTGGGCATTGACTGTTCCCTCTCCTGAAGATGCCACCACAGCAATAAAAACACTTGCCTGTCTGTTTTTAATAAATATAGGAGTTTGAGTTCTGGTCAGTGTSAAGTATTTAAATCCTTGTTTTTGATTCCTTTCCTTCTTCCTCTCTGTTTTTTTTCAGAATATTTCAGAATATTTAAGGTTGGAAGGGACCTCTACAGATCATCTAGTCCAACCTTCCTGCTCAAGCAGGCACACCTAGAGCATGTGGCACAGGGTGGCATCCAGGCGGGTTTTGAAGACCTCCAGAGTAGGAGACTCCACAACCTCCCTGGGCAGCCTGTTCCACTGCTCTGTTACCCTAACAGTAAAGAAGTTSCTCCTCACCTGGAGACGGAACTTCTTATGCTTCAGTTTGTGGCCATTACCCCTCGTCCTATCGCTGGCCACCAGTGARAACAGCCTGTCCCCTTCCTCCCTGCATTCTCCCTTCCTGAACTTATACATATTAATCAKATCCCCTCTGAGCCGTCTCTTCTCCAGAGAAAAAAGGCCCAGCTCRCTCAGCCTCTCTTCATACGAGAGATGTTCCATTCCCTTAATCAATCTGCCAATCCTTTTTTGAGGTGTGGATGTTTAAATTGCTAGCAGTTTTACTTCATGTCAGTGTCAAAAATAAAAATAAAAAGTGGTACTATATCCTATTTTCTGCTCACAGAATTCAATGATCCCATTAGCCCATTTTTCCACAGAAAAATGAGAATTCCTGATCATTCATTTTTTCMTTATATTTTCTAGTTCATTTTTAGTTACTTCTTTCCAGGACGCRGTCTTCCATTCTATGTTGCGGCTTTCCAAGTTTTAAAACAACTCTTACTAAGTACATAGTTGTTCATTTGACTATATAAAAATACAATTAATTCACTCAGATTCAACATACCATGTGACCTAAGTGACCTTGTTTGGCCTTTCTCAACTCCCCACAACTTACCAGCTCACCAAAACTTCTGTGATTTCATCAGAAGTGATTTTCTCTTTATTTGTTGAGGTAAATATCCCCCAGCATCAAGCCTGCAGCTAATAACACACCACCACAGGACCCTCTGTTGCCTGATCATCATTTCCCCATGGAAACTACACTTTGAGCTCTGCCTGTTAACTAGTTCTTAATGAGGTTTGTATATACTGATTTTTTTTATTGATGAGGCTCAATGAGAGCTCAGCATTTAAAGGATTTTTCCTTCCCCCTCTAAAAGGGTTTCCTTTCCTCCACTGTGACAAGCAGCCCTTTACTTCCCTTCCTTCYTTTGGCCCTGTCTTGCTCTGTTCAGCCTCTTGCAGCCACTGTTTGCACAGTCCAGATGGCAGCCCTTATCTGCTGATAATGCTGTGAGGAGCAGGGCTGAGGAGGCAGCAGACAGCAATATTTTTCAACTCGAGATCCTGGATCCATATTAAAAGCATATGGGAAAATATGAAAAAGGTAATATTCCATCTGTTATTAATAGGGGACATGGGATTTAATGCCTGGCAACCTTCTTGTGTACTCTTTTGATATTGCATAATGTTATTTTTTGATGTTGTGCACTACTGAGCCTTACCCACCTATAGGCGTATTCCATCTATGCAGTTATCTTTATTAACCAGAGAAAGAAATTGGATTTGTCTAAGACTTATTCCCCTAATTAATACCATATCCTCTTCCTACCATTGACCCCTGTACTGTCCTGATGTCTGCTGGCTGCTAGTGATGCAAGCTGCTTTTTGCATGCTGAACTTTTCTACTGGGAGCAGAGTGGCTTATGGTAGTGAAACTCCCACATGAAGATTTGCTAAACTTGGATCCCAGGAGTATTTACTTTGTCCTTTTTCTTTTGTAGATTTTGTTTTTTGATTGTTTTTGGTTTTRTTTGGAGGTGGTTTCTTATTAAGTACAGTGAGAAATTGTTCTTTGCAAGATCAGGTCTTAAGTTAGGGCCAGACCTGGAATGTGCAGAATAATGTTTATAGACACAAGATCACTATCATCAGCACAGAGTCACTAACATCAATTAACGGGGGATACTTCTGTTTTGATGCAAAGTTTTTGAGAAAAAAGAAAAGTTATAGGAAATATTGCAGCATGTGATAGCAAATATTATCCTTTCTCTATGCTCTTCTGAGATGCCCAGCATCTTGCAGAGTTTGACAGATAAATGACCTCTCATTCCCTGTGTTGATTACTGGTAAACAGTGCAAGAGAAGCAGTGATAGCTACACTGTGGGAAATGTAGAAACTATAATTTTTCAGAGGAGATCCGACACAACCCTATTATGTGTGTGTGGATTCCTCAATACCTCTGTGAGAAACATCAGGATGGGCAAAGAGGGATCACCTACAAGGAAGGCTCACTACCTCTTCAGCATACCAGGTAGGAGTACCTTTTGTGAAATACAACTCATACTATCCCTGCACCTCGCACTGCTCTCTGGGGTGGCACATGGAGAAGTTTTTCCTGCCTTCTCTGGGCGTCAGGAATTAAAGGTTCTGTGGCACCAGCCCTCCCCATTGCTCCTTGGCAGTGGACAAGGCGATGTGGATGGCGGTGACCTCCTCCAAGCAACGAGGATCAGGTCAAGCCCCTGTGAAGGAGGCTATTTTATTAGAGGGGCAAGAACAGTACCAACTTAGAGCCAGGGATTCATTGTCTCAGTAGCTCAGCCCAGAGAAGGCAAAACGTGGGACCTATATTCAACAGAAGACTAAATCACCTAATCAGTGACCACATCAGAGCCCAACCACCTTTGCTGCTTGGGCTCCTCTGCAGTGTTATTTATTACTCCCCATCAGTCATAGCTTTTCTGAACTTACTCATGGCTGACATTTGTGATACAATAAGGCCACAGATAACTTGGGAAATGAAATCAGGGTTTTCCTGTTGGAACACCTAATATCCACTGTCTATCTGTCTTTCCCTAGGTAGTATATGCTAGTACAGGGCTTGGATTTGCAAGTAAGCCTAAGTATCCCCATGACATTTATTCTCTGGGAGGAACAGAGAAATATTTTCACCGTTGAGTTATGCAAAATCCAACCAAGCTATCAGATATTTACAGAAATAGCCCTCCTGCAGGGCCAGGCTCCCCGCAGTTTCAAACTCATTGCTCTTTTTGCTTAAAGACAACAGGAAAAGATGCTTGATAAGCAAAGACTGGGGTGTTCTTTGCATCCCAGGACAGCAATGCTGAAGGTAGCCTTGGAAAACCTGCTGTGGTTGCAAGGCAATAAGACTGTGTATGCCATTGCCATGCCATTAAAAAAATCAGTTGTCTGTTATGATTTGCAATGCCTTTTTACATTATTTTATTTTTTCTCCACTTAAGTCATGAGGGTTTGCCAATGAAAGAAAGAGGTGATCTTTCTGTGAATGAGTGTTTATAAACATATATTGCAATATATTTACAGATAATAATCTATTTTGAAAAGTTTGCCATGTATTAGTGCAAATATTATGCAAAAGAGTAAGAAAACATAACAGCAAATTCATGGTGTATGTTTGTGTGTGTGTTTTATATAAAATCAGAAATATAAAGCTGGGCATTCATCCAGAAACCATTAGGTTGATCTCCCCACTCTAAGGCAAGTACCTAGCTCATCCGTGACAGACCTTTAACCTGTTACAAACTGAAATTTGCAGACATTAGGTTTGGGGTAACATGTGAAAAATAGTGTGTGTGGAGGAAATAATGATGTTTGAGACTCACAGTAAGCAATAAAAGTGAAGCAAATTGCCAAAGAAGTGCTCTTTCAGAGAGCAATACCCATCCAAAGGACTAAATGAGAAGTTAGTACTCATTCGCTGTGTCACAAGGCTTACACGGAGGCAGGCAGAGTTACAGGTCCAAACTTGATTAATTCTGACACTTCCTAAGCTTAAAGTGCTTGGACTTGATAACTTTCATACAGTTTTGGGTAGACTATTGTAAGTAACTGCAAAAGGTTTTAAAAAAGGTTTTAAAAAAAGGAAGATGAAAAGTCATTCTGTGGAAGGATCCAACTTYGCTCCCTCTTGGTAGCCAAGGACAGAATGCAAAAATCCTGACCTTGGAGATGCTTGAGGCTGTATCTAAGTGGGCAGACCTGATTTCTCCCATCTGGGTATTGCACAGCTGGTTCATGACACCGTTATCAAGAAGCTACGAAGCTCCCTGTGTTCAAGGGGCTCCAAGTATCCA